TCATGGAGCAGAGCAGAAGAGAGAAACTTGGGAAGCCAGGGACACGGCAGATGGCCATGAAAATGAGGACACGCACAGACCCAGATAAACCCAAAGAAATTTCTCCATGGGGTCCCGAGGACCAACTTAACCCCACAGAAGTACACAGTGTGTTGTTCATCACAAAAGAGTATTTGCTTCCTCAAAAAAGGCCAACACACACACACACACACACACACACACACACGGAGCCAGGCCAGGGGGTTGGCCATAGCCTGCAAACACTGTCCTGTCCATCCTGAGAAGGCCTGCCGCTAATGATATGGACCAAAAGTTAAGGCCAAGTGCTGTTTTCCAAAGAAATTGACTCATAGCTTCATTTAGAAGGAAGAAGGCTCCCTCCCCAACCCATCTTCCCCAAATCATCTACTGTGAGTAAGAGTTTAAGGCCACAGAACTGGGGCTGGCATTGTGGCACCGTGGGGTAAGCTGCTGTCTGCGGCACCAGCATCCCATATGAGCACTAAATTGAGTTCTCTCTGCTCCACTTCTGATCCAGCTGCCTGCTAGTGCACCTGGGAAGGAGACTTATTTGGGGTCCAGGCTCCTGGCTTCAGCTTGACCCCAACCCCAGCTGTCACGGCCATTTTGGAGAGATGGAAGAAATTCTCTCTCTCTCTCTCTCTCTCTCTCTCACTCTCACTCTCACTCTGCCTTTCAAATAGCTAAATAATTTTTTTTAACAAAGTGAGTGGGCATAGAACTCAGTTTGGCATGCATTAGACAATGAATTTGTGATTCATTTAACAAGGACGTGGTTGTGTGCCTAGTGTGAGCCCCTCACTGTGCTGCCTGATTGTGTGTTGGCTTAAGAAACAAAGCTGAAGAAAAGCCAGGCCCGGACCTTGACCTGGGTGAGCTCAGTTTCTTAATGAAGCAGACAGCGTGCAGGTGAGCAGTCACGGACAGCGATAAGGGCAGTGAAGGGAGAGATCAGGTGCCTGCCCTGCACACCTACAGATCTTTGCGGCTCTGAAGAGGTGGTGCTTGACCTGGGCCCAAAAGGCTGTGAAGCAGCCAGCAAGAGATGAACTGGGTGGGGAGTGCTGTGGCACGGCAGGTTATGCTGCTGTGTCTGAGTGCCTAGAATTGAGTAGACATCTATCTGCCTGAGGCGTGTGGTACCACTGGGTGCCGACAGGGGGCACCATTCCCGGATGCGAGGAAAGCTTGTGTTGGAGTCTGTTAACTCCAGGGGGCAGTTGGCATAGCAACCTGAGGCGGGGAAGAAATGTGCGTTCTGGGGACAGCGTCAGTTCAGTGTGCAGGTGGGCAGTCTATGGGTAGATGAGGCGGGGCAGAGAAGGGTAGAGAGGATGATTCTAGGACTGTAGGAAAATGGCTCCTCCCGGACTCATTCCAGGCCTGTTTTCCACCCAGATTTCCTGTGGGATTTCATTTCCTTAGAGCGTAAGAGTTTAAGAATATTAATTAAGGGGCCGGCGCTGTGGCGCAGTGCGTTAAAGCCCTGGCCTGCAGTGCTGGCATCCCTTAGGGGCGCCGGTTCTAGTCCTGGCTGCTCCTCTTCTGATCCAGCTCTCTGCTATGGCCTGGGAAAGCAGTGGAAGATGGCCCAAGTCCTTGGGCCCCTGCACCCATGTGGCTCCTGGATTTGGATCAGCGCAGCTCTGGCTGTTGTGGCCATCTGGGGGAGTGAACCAGCAGATGGAAGACCTCTCTCTCTCTTTCTCTGTCTCTACTTCTTTCTGTAACTCTGTCTTTCAAATAAATGAAATAAATCTTTTTTTAAAAAAAGAATATTAGTTGGCCAGATTATTCCGGAAGGGTTTAAGGCAGCACAGGTGTGCTTGTAGTAGGTGGGTGTGTCCAGATAGCACAGTCAGGTGCTGGGGTCTCTGCCTGGCCTCGGGAGCCTACTCCCCCAGAGCAGTGGCTGCCCTGTCCTGGCCAGGAGCAGGTAGATTAGCAGGGTGGGGGGATGCCGTGACTTACTCTGGGGGTCCGCTGGAGGGAATGAGTGGCAGGGCAACATGGCTTGGGAGGGCAGTGCCGGGCCAGTGCTGGTCTCTCCCAGGTGTTGAAAGGAGCCATAGCCGGCGCCGCGGCTCAATAGGCTAATCCTCCGCCTGTGGCGCCAGCACACCGGGTTCTAGTCCCAGTCCGGCGCCGGATTCTGTCCTGGTTGCCCCTCTTCCAGTCCAGCTCTCTGCTGTGGCCAGGGAGTGCAGTGGAGGATGGCCCAAGTGCTTGGGCCCTGCACCCCATGGGAGACCAGGATAAGTACCTGGCTCCTGCCATCGGATCAGCACAGTGTGCCAGTCATAGCGGCCATTGGAGGGTGAACCAACAGAAAAGGAAGACCTTTCTCTCTGTCTTTCTCTCTCTCACTGTCTAACTCTGCCTGTCAAAACAAACAAACAAACAAAAACAAAAAAAGGAGCCATAGAAATCCTGGGACGCATGCGACGTTCCCTGCTTTCCATGTCTGCTACACTGGCCTGCTCTGGCAGCCAGCTCTTTGCTGCCGCAGCCTGCCCCCTGGCCCTGTGTCTCTAGGTGCCTTGAAGGAAGTGGTGGGGGAAGGGAAAAGAGAAAGACTCAGCCTTGGGAGCCCATGCCATTGTGCTGAAAGGTCGGAGCCGGCAATTGTGGTTGAGGCAAAAAAAAAAAAAAAAAAAATGAGGAAGTTTCTGAATGCCACAAAGGTCCCATGAAAGCTGGGGCCTGGATATTTCCTCCCAGTAGACATCAGGATCCTGGGGAGACACCGAGGGGAACAGCCCTTCCCCTGGTGGCCTTCGGGTGTGCTTTTTTTTTTTTTTTTTTTAAGAAGCTCTATTTATTTATTTGAAAGGCAGAGTTACAGGGGAGGGGGAAAGACAGAGAGAGCGAGCGAGCTTCCATCTACTGGTTCATTTCCCCAAATGGCTGCAATGACCAGAGCTGAGCCAGGCCGAAACCAGGAGCTTCTTCCGGTTCTCGCACATAGGTGCAGGGGCCCAAACACTTGGGCCATTCTCCATTACTTTCCCAGGAGCATTAGCAGGAAGCTGGATCGGAAGTAGAGCAGCCAGGATTTGAACCCGTGCCCATATGGGATGCCAGCACTGCTTACCTACTACGCCACAGCGCTGGCCCCTGGAGTGTGGCGTTTGCATCCCTGGAATCTTTAGGTTTAGGTATGGGACGGTGAGATGCCTCTGAGTCTACTTCGGCCTCAGGGTAGGCTGTTGGGCTGTCGGGGTTGGTGTGTATGCGGGTGTGGGAATCCTGACTGAGGATAGCCCAGGAGGCTTCTGCATGCATGTCCAAGGCTCTGCGTCCCGTCCTCCCCGCCACATGCAGGGCCTGCGTGGTTACGGGTGTTTTGCCTGACCTGTCACTAAAGGGAGCACTAAGCTGATGCTGGGACCGCAAGGCAGCCATGACCGAGCATAGCAATGGCTGTCTTCACTCTCTAGAAACCGGATAGCAGCTCGGCGAGGTGGCTGTCCCTACCGTGACGGCTAAGTGCCGCGCTGCCGCCTGGGTGCCGCGTTCTGTTGGCAGTGTTTACCTGGATTACTCTTGTTTCTCAACAAATCCCACCCATGGAAGAGGTGGTCACTTTGCGCCCATTTCATAGATAGAGAACTGAGGCGCCGAGAGGACAGAGTTGCAGAGCTGGTGGTTGTGCGGAGCCATGGCCTCTCCTCTCTCTTCCCGTGCTCTGCGCTGACACACCAATGTCACTGAGTTCACAGATGACAGCGCCTCCACCAAGCTGCCACACTTCACATGCAGAATTACACTGAGTACCTCCAGAGTCTGGAAGCCCACCCCTGGTGGGAAAAGTGCAAGGATACAGCACTTGCAGACAACCAAGGCGAAGGTGGAAACGTGAGCTTGGAGCTGGAAGCTCCCTGTTGACCTGCTGGTCATCTCCCCATGCCGAAAATAAACAGGAATCCTTGGACTTGCCTTGGGATTTCAGGGAAAAGGCTCTTTCGCTTCCCTCTGTCTTCTAGAAATACAAGACCAGATGGACTGGGCTCCTTCGTGACAGCTGTTCCCTAATCCCCTCCCCTCCCCTCCCTCGGCCAAGGCCTGGGCAGGGTGTGGGGGAGCCTGAGGATGAGCCTGCCAATCGCTTCTCAGCAGCTTTGAAAGTTTCCCGAAAATCCGAAACTGAAAACTCACCAGGGGTCCCCAGCAAGCTGGGGTGATCAGAACCCGCCGGCAGCCTCACGCAGGGGACAGTTGGATGACCGGGAGGCACCAAGAGCAGCCAGGGGTTGGGGGGTTTAGAGATTGGGCATCTGACACCCTGCCAGGGAGAAGAAATGTGCCCGTTCCCATGGCGGAACGCATTGGCCATGTGGGGCTTAAAATTCTTCCCTGACTCCCCGGGAGTATGGAGGAAAGGAGTTACGGGAATGGTGTTCGGGACTCGGGGTCAGGGGGTGGATTTAAATGGACACACAAAAGGCTTGCCTCCCAGCGCAGTGGAATTCAAACAATCTGAAACAGTGCAAGCCCAGGAGCTGGCATGTGCTACCCAGCTGCTGCCCACTGAACAGAGCCCAGGCTGTTTCTGGAGGGGCCTTGGGGAGAGCGGGGCAGCGCGGGCGTGGGTCAGGGAGCCACTTCGTTGATGGTTTGCTCGCGGGAGCTCCGCTGATCACTGATTTACCAGTGCTGAAGAATAGGGGAGTATATAATAATAGTGTACGTAATAGCATTCGTCTTTCCTCCCCCTTGCTCAGGAAAACTGGGTTTTCCAAGATAAAGACACGCACTTTTTTATTTTCTCTCTCCCCAAAACATACACAGGGAGGGAGGAGATGCTGGGCGATGGGTTCACCTTCCGTAGAGACGAGAATACACTCAGGTGCGAGCCTAGGACCCCATAGCCGGCCGTGCGCTGGGCTCACTTTCAGGTGCCTCTCTTGTTCCATTCATTTCTACTTCTGCCTGTGGGCACCGTCGCACTCAGCTCCTTCTTGTGCTGTTTCCCACAGAGATGCGTGTGCAGACCCAGGCCATGCGGACACTGGTGTGCCTAACTCCCTCATCCCGGAGCCCCGCGCCTCTGAGCCCCAGCACAAGAAAGCAGCGTGGTCAGGAGGGGTTAAACTTCGGCTGAAGCACAGGTAAGAGGGGCAGAAAAAGACTCTTGGCTGCCGGGAGAGGGAGGTGGGGTGAGGAGGGTCAAGGGGGCAGGCAGATAAGAGAGGAAGGAGCAGAACAAGGAGGCCAGAGAGAAGCCCAGGGTTCGGAAGGATAATGATTTTTTTAAAATTAAACTTCGTTTATTAGTGAGACAGAGACAGACAGTTCTAATCTGCTGGCTCACCTCCCAAATGCTCTCAACAGCCAGGGCTGGGCCAGTTTCCAAAGCTGGGAACTCAGTCTGGGTCTCCCATGTGGGTGGCAGGGGCTAAAGTACTTGAGACATCACCTGCTGCCTCCCAGGACGCATTAGCAGGAAACTGCATCAGAAGTGGAGCAGGGACTTGAGCTGGGTGGGCACTCTGATATGGGATGTGGGTATCTTCACCACTACACCAAACACTCACACACCAGGACGATGATTTTATTCATAATAGCCCCAAACTGGTAACAACCCAAATGTTCACCAACCAGTGAATGACTAAACAAATTATGACAATTACATACAATGAACTATTACTCAGCAGTAAAAGGAGGAGTACAACTTGAAAGAATCTTAGAAAAAGCCTCCAGACACAAGACTGTACACACTCTATGTTTCAGTGATATGAACTAGAAAAGACAAAAGCAGTAAGTTTGGTAGACCAACCTCTCTGTCTTCACCACCCCCCCATTCTGACTTTCAAATAAGTAATGAAATGTTAAAAAGATCCATGACATATGGTTCTCAACAATGTAAAACATATAACTTACAAAAAAAGACTTGGAAGAAATAGAGGTTTTTTCCAATATTATTTAGCCTCTTCTTCATACTCTTCCCTTTTTCCAAATGTCTTACAATGAGTATACATTATTCTTATAAACAGAAAAACGTGCTATATAAGGAATCAAAACAACATTTAGTATCAGGTTTTAAATGCTATTGGAAATGAAGCAAAGGAAACAAAATTGAATACAAAAATGAAGTCAATTATAAAAACAATATGTATGAAAGTAATTTAAGAAAATATTAACAATAATTCTCTTGGTCATGGAATTACAGGTGATTTTTTTCATCTTTCCATTTTTTTCTAATTTCCCCCCTACAATTGGCATCCATTAAACCAGGTCTGGCTGGAGAACTAGAGTGGATTGTATTGGCTTCAGACCAAAAGAATTAAGGTAATGGTACTGTGTGGTGCCAGGCACCTAGAAAACCCTCATCGTCCAGGACGATGATTTGTTTATTTATTTGAAAAGCAGAATTACGAGGTCAGGGCAGAGGAGAGTGATCTGATCTGTTTTCCATCTGCAGGTTCACTTCCCAAATGGCTGCAACAGGCAGGGCTGGGTCAGGCCAAATCCAGGAGCCAGGAGCCAGGAGCCAGGAGCCAGGAGCCAGGAGCCAGGAGCTTCTTCCAGGTCTCCTATAAAGCAGTCCCTGGAAGCTGAGTAGAGCAAATAAACCTCAGTGTCGATTTGGTCTCCTAATCACAAAGACATGGTTTTTCAAACAAGCTGGGATGTTCTCGTTAGCACAGTTGCATCTGGCCAACAGCTCAGTGCCTGTACCAAGGGAATATGTGGGGGAACAGGTGGATGGCAATTGCCTCTTGAAGATGTCAGGAGCTCCACGTAGCTCCATCACTCCTGCTCAGAACCTGCCGGCTGGATCTTTTACTTTGTTTTACGATGAGCATTCTGTGTCCACGTGTCTTGTTTCCATAGCCATGTGAGCCTCTTAGGAAGTTTGACCTCCTAATGCTTTTCCTGTTCCCCAAGGCCTCTCCACAACCACGTGTTACTGATGGGGGATTCAGCGTGGAAACGGGAGGAATTTCATGCAGTTATATTCACATCCCAAGTCCTATTTGGGCTTTTTTTTTTAATAGTTCTTATTTTTAAGTTTTTTTAGACTCCTGAAAATGTTGTAAAAATAATAGTATAGAGCTTTCTCATCTGGCTGTCCCACAACGTTCCCTGATGTTAACAGTTTTTATAACCATAGTTCAAATATCAAAATAAAGAAATTAGCATTGGCAGTTAGTAATAATTACAGACTTATTTAGGCTTCACACCGCTGATGTCCTTTTTCTGTCTGAGACCCCACGTGGTATTTCGCTGTCACATTGCCTTGGTCTTCTCTGATCTGTGACACTTCCTCTGTCTCTCTGGCTTTATGACCTTGCCGCTCAGGAAGAGCCCTGGACAGGTATTTTGTGGAATGCCTCCTACTTAAGGGTGTCCGACATCCTCTCATGTTAGACTGAAACCACACTTCTTTGGCAGGAATATCACAGAGTGATGTATCCTTCCTAGTGTCTCATATCAGGGGCCACGGGAGGCGGATGTTTCATTCCTGGTGATGTTAACCTTGATTACCTGGTTACAATGAAATCTGGTGGTCTCTCCACTGTAAAGGTACTACCTGTCTGTTTGTAATTAATATCCTGGGCAAGATAACTTTGAGGCTATGCAAATATCCTATCTCCTCAACCTTTCTCCACTGATTTTTTTTTTTTTTTTTTTTGACAGGCAGATTTAGACAGTGAGAGAGAGAGACAAAGAGAAAGGTCTTCCTTTCTGTTGGTTCAACCCCCAAATGGCCGCTACGGCTGGTGCACTGCACCAATCCGAAGCCAGGAGCCAGGTGCTTCTCCTGGTCTCACATGCCAGGTGCAGGGCCCAAGCACTTGGGCCATCCTCCACTGCACTTCCCGGGCCACAGCAGAGAGCTGACCTGGAAGAGGAGCAACCGGGACAGAATCCGGCGCCCCATCGGGGACTAGAACCCGGTGTGCTGGCACCGCAGGCAGAAGATTAGCCAAGTTTTGAAAGGCAGAGTTACAGAGAGAGGGGGAGGGACAGAAAGAGATCATCCATTCACTGGTTCACTCCCCAAATGGCTGCAGTGGTCAGGGCTGGGCCAGGCTAAAGCCAGGAGCTAGCCACATGGGTGGCTGGGGCCTAAGCACTTGGGCCTTCTTTTGTGGCCTTCTCGGGTACCTTATCAGGGAGCTGGATCAGAAGTGGAGCAGCTAGAACTTGACCTAGCAACCATATGGGATGCCGATGTGACAGAAGTGGCTTAACCCTCTTAAGCCATGATGCTGGCCCCATCTCCTGATTTTTAAAGATTCTTTTATTCATCTGAAAATCAGAGAGACAGGGAGAGACAGAGACATCTTCCATTCACTAGGTCACTCCCCAAATGCCCACGACAGCCAGGGCTGGGTCAGTCTGAAGCCAGGAACCTGGAAATCCATCTGGTTTCCTGCATAGATGACAGGGACCCAAAGTCCTGGGCATTGTGTGCTCCTTTTCCAGGTACGTTAGCAGGGAGCTGGATCAGAAGCGCCGGAGCCAGGACATACTGAGCTGGCACTCGGATACGGATGTGGCGACTTAACCTCTGTGCCACAGCGCACACCCCTTTCCGCTCCTGTGACGCATCTGTCTGTGACAACACTACTGTGATGTTCTGAAGATGATTCTGGATTCCCTTTATTCCGTCTGCATTTATTTACTTATTTTTTTGACAGGCAGAGTTAGACAGTGAGAGAGAGAGAGAGAGAGAAAGGCCTTCCTTCTGTTGGTTCACCCCCAAAATGGCCGCTATGGCCGGTGCGCTGCGCCAATCCAAAGCCAGGAGCCAGGTGCTTCTTCCTGGTCTCTCATGTGGGTGCAGGGCCCAAGCACTTGGGCCATCCTCCACTGTACCCCCGGGCCACAGCAGAGAGCTGGCCTAGAAGAGGAGCAACTGGGACAGAACCCAGCACCCCAACCGGAACTAGAACCCAGGATGCCGGCACCACAGGCAGAGGATTAGCCTAGTGAGCATTTATTAACTGGAGTTCTGTAAAGAGAAGCTGGACCCAGACTACTGATTTTTATCAATAAGGGCTCCTTCGTATTTCTTTTATTCTCCATTATAATCCAATAGCATTGTGATGTATTGTGCTGTTCACATTGCTCTGGCTTTGACACTTGGGAGTCCTTCCAAGCCTGTCTGATCTGAGTCCTCTCCGAAACACGGAAAGGGGTGAGGCGCTGCCGTCTTGTTCTTATAGGCGGAGAAAGCAGACCGTGATGTGCTTTTCATCTTCCCAAGAATTGCACGAGTGTTGAGCTGGGCGGCTCGTAGTAGACCAGTTTGTTACACAGGCCAGTAGGCTGATCCTGGAAGTGGACAGGCATGAGCCAAACCAAGGCTGTGAGTCACACAGACATACTGCTCCTTCTTCACAGGGGAAATAGCCAGAGAGGATTTTCTCACTTACTTAGAAGAAAAGGAAAGAAAAATTTCCTGCTCTCTAGGTATTGACAGCTGAGAGCGCGAGAGCGAGAGAGAGCGAGCGAGCACGTGCACTTTTAGTGGCCCAGGGCTGAATATTCTCACAAATCAATCTCATCCTTCCTGTCCTGCTTAGATCCTTGAATTCTAACTCATCCCTAAAAATCCGCATGATCTGTCTTACCTTCTAGGCATAAACTTCTCCCTAAAATGTGGCCAGCCTCGGGTTAGGGTAGTTCAGTGAGTTGGCAAAGGAGAGAGTGTTCTAACCTCAAACTGAAGATCTTCCAAGCCACTGCTTCCTCCCCCAAGCTCGCCTTCCTTCCTCACGTCTACCACCAGTCACCACCATCATCAGCTCTCTGCTCTGTTGCTAAGCATTCCCCCTAACGTGATGGTATGCATGTTCTCTGTAGAGTCAGGATGAGTGGGTGGATAATGGAGGCTCAGGGTTTGACTCCTAGTTCCTGCTCAGTTGAGCAGCAGGGTTAGTTCTACTGGCCCTTTGCACCTCCCTGGGCAGCGAGTCCTGCCCCCGGGGGCTGTCTTGGTGTTCTCTGGCCAGTGTGCCTTAGGCAGGCTCCCCACCATGTTGTTACAGAACCCATGCTTCAGTAGCCTCCCGAACTGGGGAAGCTTAACGCGTCTTGTGCACTTGCGCAGACAGTGGCATTTTTGCATGTGGAGGAGGGCACGGTTTAGCAGAGA